AGACTTCTCCAGTCAAAGGATACAATATTTGTACCCAGATCAAGAAAAAAAAAAAAAAAAAAGACGTTTTTGTTTTTTTACACATATTCTGATAGAAAACAAGAAGCCAGCTTGGACATACACAACATCTGTTGCTGTATGTTGGTTTTATCTTGACCCATCACCATATCTGTATCATTTCCTTCTCTCTCATTGCTGGTTTCCTTCTAGGTTGTGGACAACAGATTTCTAGGACCGTTTCAACAAACAGCTCCTCACCACTCAGCGAAGATCTGAGAGAACTCCAGCGAGCTGTTGGCGACGGGTGAGATGAAGTAGAAGGGCGTGGTCCCCAGGTTGGCGCTGTCGATGAACTGGTACAGACACTCTAGCAGGTCATAGATCACCCCCGACGAGTAGCACGGCACCAGCACGTTGCCTCCTGCTCGAATCGTCATGGCTACAGGCAGAGATGAATAATAAACACGAATATTAGAATCAGCAATGTGATTTACTTACATATTCTACATGTACTCATTTCATTTACATTTTGAAACGTTAATACAACATACATTTAAATCATCCAGTACCTACCGAGGTTGCTGCAGAATTCTCCCAGCATGCCGTCTGGGTTGGCGGTGGGCATCTGGGTGAGGCCTGTCAGGATCAGAACATCACAGTTCTTGAGGGAGCTTTGGTCCATCGGCTGGCAGAAGAGAAGGAGTTCAAGTGAGTTTATTAAAGAACGAGTTAGTTTGTTTTCCCCTATTTGTCTCAAACATTTGCTCGCGGGGGGGGCACTAGAATTACTGCCTCATAGTTGCATGCCTCCGCCAACTAGTCAAAATGCATTCATGTCTGTCCAAAATGTCATCCCTTCACCTCCCGGCGTTCTTGAGATATCGTGTTCACCAGAATGGGACGGACGGACGGACGCATCACATTCTTAACCATTGCAGGTTCATATCAGGCCTCGTGTGTACTGCTGGGTCTGTTGGACCTACCTGTGGATGTGTGGTGAGGAGGGACGAGCCCGACACATAGGAAACCTTCTCATGGTGAGACTGGATGATCCAGTTGGAGCTCCCCAATGAGTAACCAGAGCTTAAGGGGGAGACCTGGACCGCTCCAAACAACTCCTGGAGACAGAGAGAAGTCGTCACTGTGAGAGCACAAAATATAGAAAAGCAGAAAGAGGACAGATACAGGTATCTTAGTAGTATGTGGAAGCATACTGTTAAGAGATTGTAGAAAAATATGAAAGCATAAAAGTATAACCATTACAACATATAACTTGTTTACACTTTTTATGTAAAAAAGTCACTCAAGCCTTATATAATTCATCCTGTTCAAACAGGATCAAACCAGTTAAACATCCAGGATAACTCATGTGTGACTGACGCATGATTTTGAGGGAGGTTCCAACCTCAGATAAGCAGCAGTGAAACAGAGCAAAAAGGCTTCACCCTCAGGGGTGACCGGACTCTTCACCCTCAGGGGTGACCGGACTCTTCACCCTCAGGGGTGACCGGACTCTTCACCCTCAGGGGTGACTGGACTCTTCACCCTCAGGGGTGACTGGACTCTTCACCCTCAGGGGTGACTGGTAGACCTTCAGAAGGAGAGCTGCTTTTTCCCAGTTTAGAGACTAGACTGCCCTTCTTTTATAGAAGACCCTGTGAGACGTTTCTGCTATCAGAAGACAGCTTACAGTGACTGATATATTTTGCACCACATAGACTTTCCTTGAGTTGAAATTGTTTTATAGAACTGCTTTGAGAAAACTTTAATAAAAACACAGCCTTACCATTTGTAAGCGACTGGGACTCAAACTGAAGACTCTGGTTTTTAGAGTAAGTTACCCCTCTTCCCCTGTCCTGGAAACGTGTGATACAGATGTGACGACTGACTCTACCAGAGGAGCTTAAGGTGAGTTCCCTGGGTGAAGATTTGGATGTGTTAATCAAAAATGGTGAGAAAACTAAAATAGGCAGTATTTACAGACGTTCTACCTAACTACTCATACGGGGTGTTAGGGTTACATCCTACTGAGAGCGCCTAGGTCGTAGCCGTACAAGACTCTCAGAAAGACAATAATTCCGAAATCCTAACGACTCAGATACAGGGTGAGATAAAAGGCCGAAGGTACACTTCCGACTCATCCAGAGGGACACTAATCCCCGGAGGTCGGACTACACACCGTGTTAGGTGCGATCCTGCCTTTCTTTCCGTTGGGCAGGACCCTCTCACACTACAATACTAACAATCCTGCATTTACAGTGTGAGGAAGGTCCCGCATGAGACAAACATAAACACTCTTTCTGATCAAATGAAAACGTCCACTCTTTTCCCTTTAATCTTAGAGCTTTGGGTGTGTACTAAGCATTACATCTGCACTGTGCAGACAGTGTAGGAGAAAAGAGGTTCTTACCACTTTCTGTGAATAACCCACGAGCTGCACTTTGCTGAGGGCAGAGTTGACCTCCTGAATGCTGTAGCTTCGTTTCCACGCCCACACATCTACTGCATCCTTCAGCGACCCAGGGAGCATCCTAACATCATACAGTAATGATAATATAAGAGACAGAGACACTGACACGTTAGAGGTCAAAGATAGTATGAGATGTTACATTTTAAAATCTTAAGATAAACAATATTTTCCAATGTGATTTTTTTTTACAAATAAATATTTTCTACAACTATCCAGAGAAAAAGACGACAGAGTTTGTATGTTTTTCTCAACAGTTTTCTTGCCTTTGTATTTCCTTGGTTTTCCAGCAGGTGGCAGAATGGGCTTTAGGAACTCTCTCCATGAAGTTCACCAGCTCCTCCATCAACAGCCTGAGGAAAACAACAGCAATGATATGCATTTCTTAAACATGAGAAACCACAGCCAATCTCTGTTTTTGTTTTTTGTTTTTTTCAAACAATGATTGAAATGAGGAAAAACGGTTGAAATAATTTTCCCTTTGAATGAAATAAAAACAATATGGTGACGTTCCCTTGTATCTCCTCACCTGCCAATCTGCAGGGTGGGTTCAGTGGCATACACTGTCCCAGTGAAGCCTGTGTGTTCAGTGATGTAAGGCAGGGCCATCATACAGTGGTAGTTGGAGACCAGGATGACATCAACAGTAGATAGATCCAGCAGTTCTCTCTGTGGCCAATTTAAATGGGAAAGAAAGTTTATTTAGACCAAATATGTATTATCATACTATGTACAGCATGTATTGTAACTTGAATCTGAATAACTGGCCTTAGGAAGTAATGATAATATTAACAACTGTGAATGGAAAGTTTGAGCTGGTACATTGTTCTAGTCATACAGTCTGTCCTATGCATGCTTGCATTATACTTTCCTGCAGCCAAATCATTCATTTGAAGTAATGCACTGATTTCTTAAGTAATACAAAATAAATGGACATTGTCTAAATATACTGTGTGTGTGTCGGCTGGGTTTACTACCTCAGGGAGACAGAACTCTGGCTGTGAGTCCACAAACACTCTTCCTGCACACTCCTTCAGCTCCTGGAAAGATGGAAAGGAAAGGTTTGTTTACTGTTGTAGCCCTTCATCACAGACACATCCTGATGCATTTACACTTTATAGAGACAGAAACAACTTCATGTAATCTCAAAAAGCAACAATCAAACACAAGTTGAAGTTAAGTGAATTAAATACAACAGAAACAGATTGTCATACCTTCTCCAAGTTTATTGTTCCATCCTTAGAGACCCAACTAGGTAGCTTGGAGAGTCTTGGGCTGAATAAGAACAAAAAATGAAAAATTCAGGACTACCACTCATACATGAATGAATGAATGAATGAATAACTAAATGAAGCCACTGCTGCTGACGCCATTCACTCACCTGTGCACCAGAGGAAGGGGCAGGAAGTTGAGGACAGAGGTGGTGTCCAGTCCACAGTCCAGCATGATGGTGGTGGATTTGAATTTGAGGACATTGCAAGGCAGTGTAGGATGACCAGACAGACAATACTGAGAGAAGGAAGGAGAGCGATTAAGAGACGCACGTGGACATAACAACACAATACATGACAGATACAGGATAGACAGGACATCACATTTAGTACATGTCACATTGGAGAGTCTGTAGTTCACACACGCAGATGTAATGTTGATTCATTATAAGAACTAAATGCTCCATTCATCAGCATCAAGTCAACCAGCTGAGTCAGTAATTTACTATCACTATGGACTGCATACGTTCAATAGTTTACATAGCATAGCTGTTGGCTGCCTGATTAACGTTAGCCACAGTTAACGAGACGGGAGCACACAGGGCTATTGACGTTGGCTATTGACGTTAGCTGCTACGCTAACAGAGTAGCTTTAACTTAAGGTATACTAAATGATTTAGTAACGCATTTTTACCGTCAAATGGGGTTGAATTTGCTACTTTGATTATGCTAACAGTCGGGTAACTCACCAATTTCATGTTTAACTCTGATAAGTGAACGTTGGATATAATTAACACTAGTTGGCTTCGCTAACACTGCATCCTTCTACAGACTCCGCTCGCTTAGTTTCTGGGACTTTCGCCCTCTACTGCCCTCTACGGGGGCGGAGTGTTTCTCAAGCCACAGCAGGACAATATGCGCGAAATACCGAACAAAGCAGCACGTTTTTGTTTATTTGTAACTGCCCTGAAAAAAGCACTACTTATTAAAAAATATTAACGAAAAACCGTCAATACAAGATAATTATTGTCAACAAACGCACGTGCCGAGACTGCAGGGCTGTCAATCAGATTCACTGACTCTAACCAGAGCCATATATAGACGAGGTTACCCCGTTTTACCTGGGACACTGCAGGACAGACATAAAGAAGCCTATATTGTGATTATGAGGACCATGAGCTTGGTGCCCAGCCCTTCGCCTATTTTGGTATCTGGGGAGGTTAAATGACACTGTGTTACATTTTACATTGGAGGATGTTTTTAGGCAGCCAGAGGCGGGGCGACTGCTCCGTGCGGTGCAGTGAACAAACCATAAGAAGGAATAAACACATTCCATTCACTGCTCTGGTTTAGCTCCCTTCCATGCTAGTAGTGGCTCGCTAACACTAACCAGCTGTCAGGTCAAACCACTCCCTAGTGACTCGTACCCGTGGGTTTATCTCGAGAGACAAAAAAATAGTTACGTAGTAATGTTGCGAAACTGATGTAGTAACATTGGCACCCGGCTACTTCTGTATCTCTGGTAGGTCTCGTTTTTTTGTGAAACAGTTAACGTTATATTAGTGTGTTTTTGTCGCTAACAGCTAACCAGAAGAAACCGAGGTAAATCTCGCTTTTGAAACTACCGTGGTCGATGTTACGTCATAGAGGACTTGTACAGTTATTAGGCAAGAGGATATACGAGGGGTCAAGGACAGGTAACCGCTACTTTTGTATTGAGAGCGTAAATACATACATTTCCTCAACAGCTATACTCAGTGGAAACCAGCTGAAATGTTGCGTATTATTGTTACATTAAGTGAACTTTGGCACGCGCTCAGTTATATCTGGTGAACTTAACGTTAGTTATTGTTCTTGCTCACTCAAATGCAATAAGCGGTCAAAAAACAGAAGATAACCGCATATACAAGTGTAATTACAATACACTGTGTAATCTATCATACAGTAACAGGGGTAGTATCACTAATAATGTAAGGGGAAGAAAAACAAGACATTTTGATACTGTTCTTGTATCTAGTAAAGTAGTCTCAGTGCTTTTTGTCAAGTCATGCTATCTCTACCATGAGTCATGACTTACAGGTCATCGGCATTGCTTGCTGTAGCTGAATATGTTGTCTTCACCTGACAGAGCAGAGGAGGTACGCGCTCGGTTTCTTCGCCATGGGGAACACCTGCAGTAATCTCGGGATCCCTCCCGGCAAGGGCCCCAATGCTGTGGGCTGCACCGACTTCATGATGGACCACACTGCTCAGGTAAAAGCACAACCACACGTGTGTAAATGTGTCACTTTTTATTGAGATATGCAACGAGCATACCACTGAATTTCAGCATTAGTTAAAGCCACTGTTCTCCAAATGAGCAGCTTATCTGAGCATGTCCTGTACTGTCATCGGTCACAGCTAGTATAGCTGCTATCAAACTATTAAATCAGCACCAATAAGAAGTTGATGATTCATTCCATCACAACATTAATAGGTCACACTTGCAACAAGGAAAGGAGTTTCAAAGTTCAGCATGAGAAAGAAAATCTGTACACAACAAACACAAATGTACACGATTTGTGAAGAAGATATTTGGGACACTTGGTTGATCACATGACAGTAGCATGTTTCTGTCTCTGCTACGTCTGCTTCTTTAACAGGGCAGCTTCTTCCGACTCTACTATCCTTGTCAAGAGACTGAAAAAGCAGAAAAACCGGACTGGGTGCCGTGCGTGGAGTATTTCAACGGTCTGGCAGACTTTCTGAAAATCAACAGGGCTCTGAGTGAAAGGATTTTCAACTACCTCTTTGGTAATTTAACTCTAATTAGGAGTATGAAGAACATGTCAAATGTGTTTTAAACAAGTGTGTGCTGTTTTTTGACAAATGTAATATACATTTCCAGGTGTTTTTATATCGAGTTGGTTTCACCTCATTTCTCTACAGTGTTTAAATCAGCTCAGTGTAGTTTCTTTTGTCTTATTGCTGCACATCAATCTGCACTGTCAACCGCATTACCAAGCAACAATGAAAGCAGAAATGGTGTTCACTAGAGTTTATGAATGAACTAACTCTGGGAAGTTTCAATTCTGCATGTTAATGTTCACACTGTACAAATGTATGGGAACCAGCAAGTGCCTGGAATTTGGGGACATCAACAACACAACAGAATGCTTTAGGACATTTCCATAACTTCTACTGAACTGGTGTTGTGCTTTAAATAGCTCGTTTTTCCATCTGTCTGTTCCAGGCTCCTTTAAGATTCCAGCCTTCGTGGATGCTCCGTTTAAATCCAATGAAAAATGTCCTGTAGTTATCTTCTCCCATGGCCTTGGAGCGTTTAGGTAGACACAATCAGACTGCCACAGAATTGACTCTTTATGAATAGGATGTTGTGCTGACGTATCAGCTGCTGTGAATGGTGTGACTCACTTCTCCCTGGTGTTTCCTATAGGACTTTGTACTCAGCCATATGTGCAGAATTGGCCTCTCAGGGCTTCATTGTGGCGTCCGTGGAACACAGGTATTTCATTTATTTAAAGTATACTTTTAGCTAAATCTTCATGTTCATGTCAGGATTTATTTCATTGAAACAGTAAAATCAGGGTGTGAGGACAGCAGTTCTTCAAACATATGTAATGTTGTAAGCTGTGTATAATCTTGGCTACATTCAAACTGTAGGCTGACAATACGTCCGCTGAACATTTGAGGCCACGTGTCAGTTGGAGGAACTTCTAGTTGGTGGTGACTGGCGAGCCAAGCCAACAATAATCAGTGGAGTAAGTGTGCAGACAATAGTTCGAACCAGGTCATCACATTTCTTTTCAGTATAGAGACAAGGGGACCGTATGGAGGAGAACATAATGGCCACAGTCAGTCTGTCGCTCATGTGGGTTGAAGTGGTATTCCGCTGAATTTTTAGCTGATGGTTGAAGGCTGGAGCCACAGAGAGAGAAAAGGCATGTGCCAGTGTTGTGACATAGTTCATGGCTGTAACAGGAGACCAGTGGTGAATCCAGCCGCTTAGCCAGTGGTGCTTTTGTCACGCTGCCACATCAGCTGGTGTCGTCTGTTACCACAACAGTCACAAAGAATGTTACTTCTCCTCCAACGTCGTGTCTGTTGAGCTGCAGCAAAAGATTAGCGAGTCTGTACAAGGACAAAAACAGGTTCAGGCTTGAGTTGGCAACTGAACTACATTTCATGCGCATGAGTTTGTGTGAGAAACGGAGACGAGATCACTAATACGTCACACGACGTGATTCATCATGTTGATCTGAAACAGGAGGTATTGTGAGCCTGATCTAAAAGCCCAATATAATATACCAAGCATAGAATAATCTCTGGGGCCCTAACTGACAATTGTTGTCAATAGTTGCAGTGATGTTCTCAATGTGCTTGTATGAGGTACTTCTCCATAGTGTATTACTACAGTAGATGGAGTTTGTAGAAGCAGACAGGAGCAAAGCAGTGTACTGCTGTGGACCTATTTTAGACAGTGCGAGCGAACGCTATATTCAGAATATCTTCACCACTGTACGGTTCTCTGTGCTCTCTTCAAAGCCACAAGACTCCTTGTCATGTGACCTCTCAGAACACAGAAGCTGCTGGTCTACATCACTTACTTTGTTTGTGTTACTGAGTCACTTTGGTGAGTCTAAACTAACCCTGGACAACAGTAACAACCTCCCGTGTTCTGAGAGGTATAATTTACTTTTTCTCAATGGTCTTGTGTCTTTGAAGAGAGCATAGATAACAGCTTTAGTTCCCCGTTAGAAAGTCTGACAGCAAGGTAAAGAGGTGGATATATTGTAAATATAGCGTACACTCACACTGATATGGGTTCTTTTAGGTGAATGCATCCACAGCAGTCCATTGCTTTGCTCCCGTGCTGGTTCTCCATCTACAGTAGTAAAACACTATGGAGGAGTACCTCATACAACCTCACTTTAAAACACTTTCCCTGTAAGACATTCAATTTACTGTGATATTTGTAATATATACTTATTGTTCTTCAGTACTCGGCTTTTGACACAGTATCATTTTGCAGCACTGTGTGTATTTTTTTCCCCGCGCAGAGACCAGTCAGCCTCAGCTACGTATTATTTTCGTGAGAAGACGGAGTCGGAGAAGGCAAACAAGAACGGGCCTAAAACATCTACCTCGACCCCAGACAACCTGGTGAGAGAGTGGATGTACTACAGGAGTCTGCAGCACGGGGAGAGTGAATTCCCCCTCCGAAATAAACAGGTCAGCAGCAGTTACTTTACGAGAAAATAAAAGCTGTACTGTACTGGGAGGAGTCATCCATGTGCCACGTTCGTCCACATAATGATAGCGTCTCATGTGAGTTAGCAGTCACTGTATGAAAGAGACTCTATTCCTCTTTTATACAATGAGGCTGGATTGCACAACTCAGTAACCAACGCTGTGCATGACACTGGTGTTCAAATGAAACCACATCCTTGTTCCTCAGTCGATTACATTCTGTATCTAGTATGTCTCACATTTTACTTTTATCTCAGCATTTCTTCCATCCTGTCTTTAGATACTGCACTTTATTAAACTGAGTTTGGATTCATGTGATGCTGTGGTCATATTTAGCGAATGCTTTTGCTTTTCTGCTAACTTGTGTGGATCACTTGTGTCTCTCGCAGGTGAAACAGAGAGCAGATGAATGCATCCTGGCTCTGGACAGACTCATTGAAATCAACTCGGGGATCTCAGTGCAAAACGTTTTGCAAACACAGTTTGACTGGATGACGTTGGAGGTAACTCATCATGAGCTTTGCTCTAGTTTTACACAGATCATGAGTTTCTTTTGGAATTAAAACCTTCAACAAGGCAGCAGCAATAGAGATTTAGTGACAGAACAATGAAAATGAAGAGGAAATATGTGCCTCACAGCAAGTTATTATAAGCTGGAGCAGGTGTTATTTTACTTTTCTTTATTACAGTAGAAGTGCTTTCATTTATATAGTGTCCAGGAAATCTAATCATTTCAGCTGCAACACACCCAAGATGAAAAAAATCTTGTCTTAAAGGGAAAGTTCATCCCAAAATCAAAAATACTTATTTAGCATTTTAGCTATAGTGCTATCTATCAATCCAGATAGTTTCGGTGTGAGTTGCCTGGTGTTGGAGAGATCAGCTGTAGAGATGTCTGCCTCCTCTCCACTATAACGGGACTATATGACACTCGGCTTGTGGTGCTCAAACCTCCAAAATAACCATTTGACAAACTCAACAGAAGTGTCTCTTTCCAGATATCATGACCTCGTTATTATCGTTGTTTCAACTATTGTTTATGGAATAAAGTTCCTCCATGAAACTGCTCACAAGGTCTGTAAATGATCTTGAGTATGACAATACTCTCCAGTTCTGATATAACTGATGCTAGGAGGAGTTGTGTTGTCTCACACACACTGAAACCAAACCACGCCTATAGCTGCCATAGCTCCTCACAGGACTCTGATTGGTCCGTGCTGTGGCTTACCGAACACAAACGCATTACTTGAAGCCTGACAAGATGAGTTTAATGTTACACGTGATCCCGTGTGAGAATCCAGCTGCTAGGTAACTTGTGGACAGCACTCGCTCTGTGTTCCAGTACCCACACTACCACACTATTTAGGATGACAGGATGTAGTATGTCCCAATACATAGTATTTCAAATGCAGAACACCAAAAGTACCGGGATGTTCTTCTATTCCGACCCAGCGGATATATGAGCAAGAGGGTCAAAGTTCAAAGTGTAATGTCATGACTAGGATGTCCCAACTGAAAGCATACTGCATGCAACAGTACATACTTTGTAAGGTCCTAAAAGTACAAATAAAATAACATGCATGTAAAGACAGCAGTGTCAGTGTGTCAATGCGGGAAGATCTAGACACTTTGGTTCAGCCTGAGGCCTTTCATTTTCAGTTTGATCAGCTGTGTCATGACATTTTGGTGACCAGAGGGAAAATCTAGAATATCACCTGTGTCCTGATGGCAGAACCTGAAGCTGATCCTCAAACAGTTACCGGTAGTAGACCTTTCATTGTTGTCGTCACTCACCATCCATTTCCTCTCGCCTCCATGCCAACAGAACTCCATGGATCTGTGTAGGATAGCAGCGGTGGGGCATTCCTTCGGGGGAGCAACGGTGATAGAAGCTCTGTGCAAAGAGGTCAAATTCAAGTATGTGGATTTACAACGTATAGCCATGTCTTCTCCATTGTCGCATTCCCTCGTTTCAGAGAAGCAGGAATATGATACGACATATGAATTATGCCGTCTGAACTCTCCTGTAGGTGTGGCATAGCGCTGGACGCCTGGATGTTCCCTTTAGACGATGAGCTCTTTGCCCGGGTGAAGCAGCCCATCTTTTTCATCAACTCACAGAAGTTTCAGTGGGCGGGAAACATCAGCCGCATGAAGAAGCTGGATTCGGCCGTCATACAGCGGAAAATGATCACCATCAGGTAAAATGCACAGGACTGAATTTCGGCCTCGTTGATCCTGTGAGAAACACGGCGTTCACTGACTTTGTGGCGACGCTTTCCTTCATCAGAGGCACAGTCCACCAGAGCTTCCCAGACTTCACCTTCCTGACGCGCAACTGGATCGGCAGGCTGATGAAGCTGAATGGAGAGATCGACCCCGAGATCGCCATAGACCTCTGCAACAAAGCAACACTAGCCTTCCTGCAACGCCACCTCGGTAAGAACAAGGAAGCGCACACGATCAGCCAGTCACTCCCGGTATCTCACTATCTCACTTCTGGGTTTTGCAGGGCTACGGAAGAACTTTGATCAGTGGGACCCTCTGATCGACGGGCAAGATGACAACCTCATTGAAGGAACTAACATCACTGTGCTTCAGTCTTCCATCTGAGCCATCTCATATCCCTAAAATGTCAAGCCAGGCCTCCTTGGCACTAGAAACAGATTAAAGATAACATTTTGGAATCGTAATAGATGGAAAAGAAAATCTCTACCTCATCAGCAGGACCGATTTAGGTTTTCTTGACAGATAAAACCAGCGTTTGTTTCATGAGGCCTGAATGTCGCTGAACACTTTTCACTGTTTGTGAAATCTTCACTATTAACAGGAAGTTCTTGGAGAAATGCTTTGAATCATGTTTAATCTTTGAGTGTATGTGAACTGAGATCATGTTATTTCACACACAGACCGTATGTCTCTTTGGATGTATGACCTTCCAACAGAGACGAGCTACACTATGATTGCAGTGTGATTCTGGAATAAGACCTATAATGAGAATCGTATCTAACCAATGGGCGTCAGAACAAAGGAAGATTGAGGACTCATACGTCAGATGAATTATTAACATGTATCCATCCTGATTCATCAGGGGGCAGCTACATGCAGTCAGTAGATCAGCATCATTAAAGCTTACTAACAGGTTGCATTAAAAACAGCATGTGCCTTAACTCTACTGTTCACCCTGGGTCAATGTAACAGCCTTCTACTTTTATACTCCTACAGTAACAGAAACCCAATAAATCTGGTTTGTATACAAATACGTCTTTTGCCAACTGCTTTAAGTCTTTCAGGTTAGTAATGCTATGAACTTACAAACAGGATCTGAGGGTAAAACCCAAGCTTTTGAATAATATGCTTGTAAAAACTCCAGAGATATTCTGATGAGGAACTGTTCAGTGTCATACGGGCTGGAAACCATTGCGGCCTTATTGAAACATTTTAAAAAGGGACAGTTCACCCCCAAATCATATACATATTTCCCTCTCAACTGTAGTGGATTCTTCTTGGAGTCTGGAGATATCGGCCTACTCTTAAATATAATGGATCTGCTTGTGGGGCTCAAAGCACTAAGAAATTCACTTGGAAAACTCAACAGCAATATCCGTTTCCATGCAGGAGCCATTTACTTTAAACCCTAGTTCCTACATGAACGCAACACAGCTAGGTCTGGATTATTTGTCAGTAACCATGTCAAGATTTCTGGAAAGAGACCTCACTGTTGAGTTTTTCAAATGTATTTTTTGGTGCAACAGGTGAGAGGACAAATCTATATTTTGGGATGAACCGTCCCTTTAAGAGGCTGTACCATCTCTCTTCATTCAGGAGACATTTTATCTGGAACACCTACAGAGACACCATTTCTTCTGTGTTACCAGAGTAAACACATTTCAAACAGTCCTGCACTTGTATCCAATGAGAAGAGACAATCAGACAAATTCAAAAATAAATTCCAGCAGTGCGTAAGAGTACATAGCAGGCATGATTAAAGGGATTCATCCATTCACACGGACATACGTGAGACATAAGACACTGGGATGGTCGAAAAGAGAGACGATGTGGATTATCAAATTCTGTAAACATTACTGCTAGAATACAAGTAGTGTCTGAAGCGAACAGAAACAATGTTGACAGTTTTTACTTGCATTAAATACCGTCCGTTTGATTCATAGTATCCATGTGAGAAACACCAGCTCACTAAAGATACTTCTTGGTAGTGGTGATACGTTTCTTACTGGGGCTGCAGACAAGAAGACAAACACCCAGAAGGAACTTTACAAACATTATGTAAAGAGCAACACGGAAGGAAAACCAGGACCACATAGATCTGTACTGATATTTATTGTGCCAACACAAATATATCTTCAACGCATGCATGTATCCACACAAAACACAGAAACCATCTTGAAAAACACTGCATTTAACAACCATCAGAGCAGCTTTTATTTTGTAAACAAAAGATTTAAAGAATTATGTGACGTTATAACAGGTCATCTGTAACAACAGTGCTTCAAGTACCACTGGGCGAGCACATGGATACTGACAACGAACTATCAACGCAATTACTGTATAAAGGCACTTCAAACCACACGTTTAACTGGAACAAGCATAAAGATGAGCTGCCGGGTTAATCTAGAAAATAAAAAGCTGCTGTTGAGCCTTCACACAAAGAAAAGAACTGTACCTGAACATGCAACTTAAAGCATATGCAGTTAACAAAAGTAAACGGAAGGCGGTTACTCCTCTGGCTGCTGCTGCTGCTGAGCAAGCAGAATATCAGCAGAGCCATCATTGATCATCAGAGAGAGACGAGTTATCCTCGACAGCTGGGCCTCTGAAAACAGGAAGGTACACAGATAAAGGGCTTTGGTCTCACATGCAACACACAATCACAGATACACAACATCCTGCAGAGACTGCTGGACTGTGCACACTACTCAACCTGTTAGGTCATTGTGGTTTTACGCTACATGACACACCAGAAACAGGATCACACACTACAACATCTTTCACCAGGAGGACTCCACGATGAGTTCTCCAAACTAGGTTTTGTCAACTTTGAATTGTTCCTTCAATTGTATCCAGGTAGATGCAGTTATGAGAGTTAAATGTTTGCTATGTCAGAACCTCTTTGCTGTTTTCATAATCCATTTAGCCAATTTTATTTTTTTTTTTCAACAAAAAGGTAATAACCACCTCAAGCAAGCATAAAAAAAACATACATATACACACACACACACACACACACACACACACACACACACACACACACA